TTTGGTTTTCTTATTATTAACTAAAACTAAAATCAGTTTATTATATATTTTATTTATTTATAGCTTTGAACTGAAATACGAATAAATGTATGTGGAACAAAAGTAGTACACATATGGAAGGAAAATTATGTTTATTTGTATGCAGTTTACTGTTTCAACTATTTCTTTATTAGTTGCTTTTAAGGTTGTACATTAAATTATATTTTTAATAATTTCATTCAGTGTTTGTTTCCTTTTGATTAAACTCCGTATTACTACCTAATAAACTTGTTATCTACAATTGTGATTTAATACGTATATTTTTTTTAAATAAATTTCATTTACAATTATACAATGTGACATATAAAGCTCATAACAATTAGTCTGACATTTGTTTAAAAAAATTCCTGGAATTTTCATAATAGTTTACAATAAATTTGGTTTAAAACAATATGGAGGATTTATCTACGTTTTAAAAAGTAATGAATGATGTTGTGCGTTCACACTAAGATTTTACAGAGAAAAAGTTAAGCTTAAAAATTTATTAATATTTGAGAATATTGATTTTCTTATGGTGCTTAAACTCTATGAGTTCTGATTCATCTCTTTTAAAAAACAATGTGGAATTTATCATTCCCACTACCGATATAATGTGAACGCCTTAAAAGAAACAATTACAAATTATAATTTTTTTTAGTGTTTTTGAAACACGAATACATTTAACATAAAATTAACTAATTAATTTACAATATATTATTTGATAATATATAAAGACATTTTTTTTTTATTTAAATATAATTATAATCATTTTGATTTTGATCCTGTTCTTTCAATAAATTCTTTACATCCTTAAAATTTAATACGGAGTTAGCACGTGTTTAAATTTTGTTTCAACATTTTGAAAGTTGAGTATGTGTGAGTGATTTTTTAAAAAATATTTTAACACATTCTTAAGCTGTTTCAAAAAAAGCTTTTTCTATTAATTAAGCGCCTGTTTCAGATTTGGAGTTTGGTGTTGAAATTTGGACGACATCTATTAGTTTGATGGAATTTTTTCTTTTACGTTCTTTAAAAAAGTGTTTTGATTTTATTGATTTCTTTAGTATAGAATATAAATTTGTATGCTGTAACTTGGTTGATTTGATTATAGTTGTATTATAATATTTATTTTGACAAAGTGTTTTTTAACTCCAATGTTTTAAACATTAGAGGGACTGGGTCTAGCATAATTCATATGGGCATATGAACGCAAGAGCCGATTGTAGGGATATTGAGCTGCTGGCCACAATTCGGGCTTTTCGGTTAAAGTATCAGATAAAGCTTGCAACAGGACATCTATGGGGAAACCAAGAGATAGTTTTTTTTTTAATAAATATCTATTATAATTAAAAAGTGTTTGAACTTACGTATAACTTTCTGTTCTAAGTCCAATGGTATGATACCCAATTCATGTTCACGTTCGAAGAAATCCATTAATTTTTGAATCTCTCTTTGAGCCTCATCTCCATGAGCTAATGATTCTGTGAACATTATCTAAAATGAAAAATTAATAAACATTTTGAACAAAAATTTTCAATTTATGTTTTTTATAAGAATAAGTAACTAGATTCCTACAGACAGAGAATGGAAAAGATGATTAGGGTCTCACAAGTTTTCAATAGGAAAATATGATCAGAGTCCGACAATATGGTAAAAGACATGTTTCTAAAGAAAAGATGATCGGAGTCCGTCATTTCTTTTATGCGATTTTGCCATATTTTCTATTGAAAAAGGTGATCAGAATCTGAAATTTGTATAATAAGCAAAATCGATCAGAGTCCGGCATCTTTTCTATTGAAGAAAAATGTGTTCAAAATATGGAATTTTTTCTATAAAAATTATGATCAAAGTCTGACTACTTCTTATGAGACATCTCTTTTCTGACTTTTCTATAGAAAAAAATGATACAATATTGATCAGAGTTTGAAAGAAGAAGTCTCGCACTTACCCGAGCTAATTTGTAGATAATTTCTTCCAAATTATATTCCTTATGCTGACAGTCGGTTATTTTCGGGCGTCTAGTTTCGCTTTCATACTCCGTTATATCTGATTTGAAAAACATAATATGTAAATAGGTCTTGTAAAAGATATTGATTCAAAGATAAGCAATACAAACCTTGTCTGCCTTCGGCATTATTCATAGCCTGTAATTTGTGCCACAAAGAAATACTGTCCAATGTTTTAGCAAGATTTATGCTGTCGGTATCCACATTTTGTTCCAAATTCAAATAAGGTAAAGTGGGTTTCACCGTTGTGGTGGTAGTAGATGTAGTGGTGGTTGTGGTAGGCAATGTCTGGGGTATATAACTTTTCTGTAAGATAAATAATAGCTTTTAAAAGAACTGATTTTTTATTTGGGAAAACAATTACTAACCTTAATGGTATTGTGTCTGATTTCCTCGGGAAATATACGATTGGCATAGGATTTTTGCAAATATTCAATACCTACACGTATTTCGTGCAAAAATTTCAAGGCGTCTTCACGAGTCATCTAAAAATTTCGAACGAATTAATTAATAAAAGTGTTAAATTTCGACAAATGTTATAAATTTACCAAATCCTGCTGTATTAACTCTTCTACTGCTCTTGCCACTCCAGCCTCATCGCCTGTCCAGAAAACATATTGAGCCATATCGAATGAGGAATATTGACCATTGCCATGTCTCAACAAACTCTCAGCAGTCTGTAGGGAAGGTTAAAATATTTATATATCGTTAGTTTTAACGCTTTTAATGTGTTTACTTCTATAAAAAGCTTTTGAAATCAGAAAAGAACGAAATAAAGCTTTTTTTGGTTATATTTTGAGTGCAAAATAATTTTGTTTGCTGTTTGTAAAGTAATATATTGTAAGCCGATTGGGTTTTATTTGAATGCATCTAAAGCCAACTAAAAATCCTCTCTATATCATAACGAGGAACTCTAGATCTAGTATTTTAAAGAAACTCTTAAATGCTCTTATGTTATGTATATAAAAACCTTGGGAGTCATATGGGCAACCGAACGACGAGCAGCTGATTTACGTAGAGCCGATTCATCTACAATAACATCGCCTATTAGCTGGCGTTCGGGTTCTTCCTCTTTATTGGTTTTCTTATTTGATTTAATGGGTCTCATGGGATGTAATTGTGGAGGAGCTGGTGCTGGTGTAACAGGAGTTTCTTCCGGTAACTCCTGATTTTCGGGTGCTTCTGGCACTTCTTGAGGAACCTCCCCGCCCTCAGGGGGAGTTTGATTTTCAGATGGTCCCTCTACTGGCGCTTCCACGGCTTCATCTACTGTATCTGAAGATTTTTCATCTTCATTGCCACCATCATCACTGTCATCCTCATCATCGTCCGTCTCATCTTCGGCCGAACCGGCAGAATTTGCTTCGGGTGCTGGTGTTGTTGTGGTAGTGGTGGTTGTAGTAGATGTTGTAGTGGAAGCAGTAGTTGTGGGAAGAACTTCAGGGTTTTGGCCATAAACTAAACGTGCGGCTCCATGCATACCACCCAAACGGCACTAAGAAGCAGTTTGTTCATTATAAAGTTCCTCTCAACTGAAATTTTGAAAAGTATTTGGAAGGACTATTAACAATATTTACCTTTGCTTTGGGTTTGTCACCATTATTTTCAACTTTGCCACCATCATTGATCTGTAAAGTGGGAGGACGGTGGGCACCCATGCCCTTGGGCTCACTGGCCGGTACTTCCGGAGTTTCACCCACATTTTCCACACCAACCTGGACAGGACCTTGAGTGCTTTGTACATCTGGTTTAGCTGATTCCAACTGTTGTTCTAGTTCAGGCAAAGAATCTTGCACAGCTAAAGGAACCACTTCATCGGCCACTAATTCATCCTTCTTTTGGTGATTAAAGTTTCCCATCTCATCATTATGAACTTCACGTAGTTGTTCCAATTGTAAAACATCATCATCCGTCTTAGGGTTAAAAACAAATTATTGATTTTATTATTAAATTATATGTATTCCGTAAATAAGTGTCACCTAAACTTACCTGTGGAAAACCCATATTCTTGTTATTCGTTTCCAATTCTGCTTCAACGGATCCTGAAATTAAAAAAATGTGTTTTGCATTTAAAAATAACATAATAATATTACGCATTTCAAATTACGCTGACATTTTTTTGTAACAATATTAACATAACTCTTGTGGGTGGATGGTAAAATTTATTGTATAAAACTTAAGCAGCAACGCAAAAAAACACACAACAAACTGACTAGAATTAAATTAAAGTTTCTATTTTTATAGAAATTCCTTAAACTGCCTTTATTCAATCTATCCGAACTGTAGCTTTATATGTATGCATGTTAACCAATGGAAAAACAACAGAAATGTGGTATAAGAAGACATGTGTCAATAATCAGTGTAACCCACTTTGCTATTATTTTATAATGGTGCAGTAAAAATCTATGAAAACAATAATGTACGACAAGTCTATGCCATCTAATGTCTATTAGCTAGACAAGACCCATTCAACACAAAGACAGGAACACTTTCACACATGCTGTTAAATGTCAGCATGTTTGAGTCGGTTTTAAATAGATACAAATGCTTATATGACGATGACAAATATCTATTAGTCAAGTCAATTCATGTGTAATCGTTTTACGACAGTTGTGGCTATTTTTATTAGTTTTTATTTTTAAAAGACTTTAAAGTATATTTCTCCAAATGAAAACAAGAAATTTAACAATAATAATCTCCCAGGTGTACAATGCTAAAAAAAATCACAAATTTATTTAAATTTATTCAAACTTTTGTTAACTTCTAAAGGTCATTTTTCTTTTAAAGTTTCATAAATTATAATGTTTTTTACATTATATTTCAGCTAATACTTATTCCCTTGTATCGTTTAAATCAATATTTGTAAGATATTATGCAAAATATTTATAACATTTTTATGAATAAATGTGAAATACACTTTATAGATTCCATGATTTGTTATAGAAAATGTTGCGTTATTTTATTACAAATTGAATC